TTGGACGAGGTGGGCCCGCATTGCCTTCAGGTCGGCCTCCAACTTTGTCTAGAGCAGCTGCTCATCCTTGTGGGTCTTCTTGAATGTGTCCCACTTGTGCTCAGCAGCGGCGGCAGCCGGCCGGAGTTTCTCCTTCTCCTTCTCGAGCCTGCCTAAGTGCGCTAAGGTGAGGCTCATCCGGTCTCACAGACCGATGAAATGAAGACAAGCCTCCAACAAGAATCATCAGTAAGGACTACAACAAAGAAAGAACCAAAAGACGAAGCATGAGGACAAAAGCTTTCCTCAGCCAAGTGATAAAGCCCCTTTTCGTGGATAGATTGAGGCTCTTTCTGCATCATCCTAAAGCGATCCCTCAAGAGGATCGCCCCGCTCACCAGGGCCTGCCCGACCCCTTCTTCATTAGTCGAGTCCCCCTCATGAACCAACCACCTTGGGCGAAAGACTTTGGAGGATAGCTCGGCTCCTCTAGCAAGCTCCTATATAGACATGGGGGCAAATGAGGGCCCCGTAGGGTACCCCTTAGTGGGAGGCTTCTTTGTTGTGGCGTCCCCAACAAGACGCTCACTGTGGGCCGCCTTCTTCGGCGGCTGATCTCTCAGGGCCTCCTCGGCAGGCCTCTTCTTACCCGCTTCGGCCGCCTTAGCCGGCTTCTTGGCCCCCTTGGCCGACCTCTTCCCCTTGTCCCCTCGACCTGTGGGGACTTGTTGTTGAGTGGCCCCCTTGGCGGGGACTTGTTGCTAAGCATCCCCCTTGGTGGGGACCGACGACCGCTCATCCCTCGTGGGCACGACCTTGGCAGGCCTTCTCGGCGTCTACCCTCCTGCTTTCTTGCTCGCTTGGGCCTTTTGCTTGGCGTGAGCACTCTCCAGCAGCAACCTCTTCGCGTCCATCGGCACCTCTGCAGAAGACAACGAATCAGTACCATCAGGCGAGGATGAATGGAACGTGTAAAAAGCTACGAAACCTCTCCTACCGAGGGGTAGGGCTGGGCCCCGCGAACACCAAGGGAAGCTCCTCCTCCACCAAAGGTTTGGCCTTGACCGTCCCTAGTACGATTAGGTGAGTCACGGCAGCAGCCTCCTTATCCCAAAGCGGAAGGGGGCACTTCTCAAATGTCATGTAGGCCTCTCCCCACTTCGACCTAAACGACTAACCTTCGGGGCAAGAGATGGAAAAGAATTTGCCCTTTCAGTTGTGGACTGACGTGGGGTTATCGACGGGTCTCCCCCTCCGTGGCTGAAGATAATACAAGCTAGCCTCAGAAGAGTGCTTCCTCCGCACAAACATGGCACGGAATAGCTTCGGGGTCAACTCCACGTCCGGAAGTCGAGCCCACACCAGCACAACTATGAGGGTCCTAATGGAATTGGGGACGAGTTGACTGATCATGATGACATACCACTCCAGTAGCTCGAAGATTAAAGGATGAAGAGGGAACATAAGGCCGAACTCAAAAAGTGCTAGTATATACAAATTCCCCCCTCGTCAGGGGTCCACAACCAATCGCCGAGATCGGGAACCCTAAGCTGGTAGGATCGAGGTATGTGCAACCTCCTAGCTAGGGCTTTCACTTGGTCCACGTATAAAGTGCTGTCGAACTTCGAACGTGGAAGATCAGCCATGGCCACCCTTCGAGCAATGCTTTCGACCACCATCCCCGGGACGGGCTCCAGGATCCGCTCCCTCTCGACTTGGGGGGGACCCCTCTGGCTCCTTCGGCATCACAGATGCGGCACTCTCACAGGGAGGGTCATCGCCTCGGTGGCTGCCCTTGGCACCACCAGAGGCTACCCTCTCCCTCAACACCATCACCTCTCACTAAAGGGGGACGGCAACCAATGGACCCAAGGGAGAAAGGGGGGAAGGAGTCCGAGGAGAGCTCTCTTTCGAACCATTCAGAAGTTCATAGCACTCAAGGCCAGAATCAGAGAAAGAGATGGTTTAAAGAATTACCTAAAGACGGAGAAGAAAAGGAGGAAGATGAGGTGTGTCGAAGAGCTAAAGGTCTGAGAGTAGAGCTCACTCGATAGCAAGGGCGCCTAGAGACAAATGACAAAGAAAAATCGCCACTAAGGCTCCTATTTATAGAAGAATGAACGGCTCAGATCCCTTCGGATCCAACGATCGTGAGGTCTTCGCTTGCGCTGACCATCCGCGGTGTGAACTTGGCGCCCAGCCTCGGTGAAACGAAATGACGCCTAGTGAACCAGTGCATGCCGAGCCTCGAGGAAACGAAACGATGCCTAGTGAACCGACGCCCAGCCTCGAGAAGAAGAAACGACGCCGAGTGAACCAACGGGCCCATTCGCCACAACCCACCAGTTCGAATGCACAAACCCGATAGACACGTAGACCAGTTCACCCAGAGTGCCCGTCCCCCCTATGGGAGGCTCTCCTTGCGCCAGACCCGTATCGGGCACGACCCCGGCATGCCAGCCCGTGAATCCCGTACCACACACGACCCCAGACCGTCGCTGCGTGAGTACAAGGCACAGGCTCAACTCCGCCGGGCCCCCTCCACCTCAAGCTCCCTAGCCGAAGCCAAGACATCCACAACTTCACTTCTCTTCCACGAACTGAAATCGGACTGAAGCAAAAGCAAGACGAGGGCGACGCCACTGCAGGGTACTCTCCACTGAACAAGCCCGATGGCACCTACCAATATTGACACTCCCTTTGGCCGAAGCCAAGGCCCCTTTCAAACCCCCACCTCGGCCTCGAGAGTGGGGGGCAAGTGATGTAGACACCTTTGGCTAGCCTGTACAAGGATGATGCATGTCAAATAAAGGGCACTAGCATAGGCTCACCATGAGGACGCTTAAGTTTACCCAACGGGGACCAGGCGGACCCAATCACAGGGCACCGTGTGGCTCTGGCAGAACATCTCGCCAGGCCCTCGTATGGCTCGCATTTGGACCATCTGAGCTTAACTACCCCCTGGCAGCTCCAACTATAAATGCAAGGTTCCCCCCACAAGGTAAGGGATTCGAAACCTTTGTGATCTCTAGTGCTCTCCCCTCCAAGATTAGCGCTATCTAAGGCCTCGTCTGGACCCCTCGGCTCCAGACTCGCTGCTTACCTTGCATGCATACTAACTTGACCGTTGGAGTCCTCACCTCGGGTTCTCCCCCGAGTCCTCTGAAACCTCCCTTGCATATTCATCACTACGGGAACAACACTTCGTCCTCCCTCGGATGCCCTTCTCAGTACTAGCCCTCGGCTTCTACAGTATCCAAAGAAGCGATTCACCTCGGCCTCGGCTAATCTCCTTTGGACCCTAAAAGCCTTCGGCCTTCCTTCGAAACTCGAGAGTGAATTTACTTTGTTGCCCTTGGCCAAACCAAGCCTCAACACTCACGTTGCTAAAATCGTTAGGGAAAGGTCAATTAAATACTTAACCTCGATTGTTGATTCCGATTGATTATCAGTCAGAGAATCGTCTCAGCTTTCATGCGTTTAATTCTTGGAAATCGGAAGTCAAGGCGGAACTCTTATTCTCGATTGTTTAATTTTCTTTGTTTTTTATTTGAATGAAATAGGAAAAAGAAACCATAACCAATATTTTTTATTTATTTTAAAATTTTATAATATATTAAAAGTAGAGAATACGCTTGTTATTCTAATTTGCACATGTGAAATTTTAGTAAGAGAGAATGCTGGCACTCTTTGATTTAATGTACAAGAAGGTCTTTAGGAAGGAAGGATTGTACGGGACATCCGGACTCGGATAATGAAGCCACGTTGCTCATTCATTCTACCGTTTCAATAATTCATGAATTGGGAGTTTGGGGAATGGCCCCCATTTTTAGAGCTTGCTTAAATCGTGATCAGGTGTTTAACCAATGACCATGGTTCCTGTATGATGTTCAGCCTAATATGATTCTTTTCTAGCAACTATCAAACAAGGATACACACACAAGTTGTGTGTGGTGAGAATCGTGAGATCAGCTCACTAATGGTGATAGTTGGGTTTTACAGTTTCTCCTTTAGGTTGCATTTGTTTGTGGTGTAAATGTGAGATCAGATCGGAGGAGTTTTACATTTTGATCCAGTTTTATAGCCGATTGGATGAAATGATTCAAAGTATGATACATATTAGCTCGTATCAGTCAATATGTATTGTACCGATGGCTTCATGATACGCCCCTACAGGGATTGTATCGAATCAGACCATAATTCAGAGAGTAGCCAGGATTTAACTGACCCCTCTGAACCGATTTTGAAAAAAATAAATAAAACATTAAAAAAAAAACACCGACACAGGCCGATTCACCCTATCGACATATCGACCTGTGTCAATATTTAGAACTTTGGATGATACGTAAATTATCAATGAAAATCGATGTAAAACTCCTGACAGGTCAAGTTTTACATTGATAATCAAGTAAATTTTCACTCATAAAAATTTACATCGATAAGCGCCACTTTTTAAACTAAATAGTGCAGAACTCTTCTGGTATTTAAACCGCATTCAAACGCAGCCTTATGACAATGGAGATAGTGGAATCACCTGTCAATTTCTCCATTCAAGGGCCATGTGGAATTGAACCAGTTTTCCAGAAGTAGGTTAGATCGATTGTTGTCAAAAAAAAAAACTAGACAAGTTCTCAAAATTGAATATTTAATGTTCTTATGATATCTCAAGAATCTAGTTGTCCAGGACTTGTAGAAATGAAACTACCTAATACAGGTTTTTAAAAATGCAACCACATTAAATTGCTTTCTGGGTTTACATCGAAAATTAACTACCAAATATTAAATTTCCATACTCCAATTAAATGTCTTCTGATCCATATTTGACAAATCGAAGACCCAGTGAGCTGAATCAAAAGTAAAGAATTTTCTCAGTCTCACAGCAAACTATAAACCAATGGCCTTCACTCTTCATTTTCTTCTATTTTTTTTTTTTAAATTCTGATAAATTTCTCCCTTTGGTTTCATGACAGGCTGACTTGTTAATCTTAAAATCCTTCTACAAGAATCTCAAGTACCCATCATGACAGCAAATGGAAATTCAATTATGGCAAACAGAACAACTACAGAAAAGGAATAACAAAAAAAAAAAAAAAAAACTTAGACATTAAGATGTTCTCTTCAGTTTGCTAAGTGGAACTGTGTTTTTCTTTAGATTGCAGATAATAATACAACAATTCATTCCAGGTATCAGGAACACCCGGAAGGCACCAATGGCTACAGTCTTGAATACTTGAAGAAGTACCCTTCCTTGGCTTTCTTCCATATACAGATGGATGACCATCTATCCTATATTCTGATAAACTAGTTACATTCAAGAGAGTTACAGGAGTCTTCATTTGCTTTATAACCTCCTCAGCAATTACATTCTTTTCTGGGTAGTCTGTTCCTGAAATATTGTTGAGGGGTTGAGTAGCCTCCTTACAGTGCCCCCCGGAATTCCATTGACCTCCCCTGTTCAGTCAATTCATTTTACTAAGCAACTGAAACAGACTAAAATACAAGACGAGAAATAACAGATTTGTTTTTATAAAGCAGTGAGCTAACCTGAAATGGGAAGGTGCTGAACTTCGAAAGAAAACTTGGGTCTTGTGTGGATTTATATGCCTATCAACCCATGATGCCCAGGTCATCAGAGCTCTTCTGAAAGCAACAGAGACATCCAGATGGGGATAAACTTGGTTACCCTCCTGGTAGTAGTTCACCCTGTTATAACAAGGATTGAGCTACAAATTAATGAATTATCGCTGTTCCATATATAAAATTTTCTACACATTTTGTTTCTCTGTCGCTTACAGGTGGAAGGTATTGCAGGGGGTGGACTTAAATTGAGTGTCATGAAACTAAACCTAACATCAGAATAATCTCTGCAGCACTTAAAGTTGAAGCACCATGAAAAAAAAGCCACATGGCTAGAGGTTTGGATTTCAGGGCGGGCTCTGAGGAATCCAAGTTGAAATGCAAATATCTAGTGCAGCCTAATTCCTCTATGAGAATTCCAGTAAAATTGTATCACTTAACTGAATAAAAAATTTAAGAGCATAAAACAATAAAAGAACAGTTCGATCTAGCACTTACCCAGCTTTTGTTTTGTAATGGGACCACCAATGTGCAGTGTTGAAAACAAGAACATCAGCTCCTTTCCATCTTGAAGAGCCCCGATCAATGGAATCGATTCGCAGCGTTTGCACCCGCTTCTGCCCAACTCTTGCCTTACTTTCATGAACCAAGAAATGGGTAACATAGTATTCGACTGTACATTTATAATCCTGCAAAATCCACCTAAACGATCAAAGCCTTGAAACTCAGAAGAAAAGAAAAGAAGGAAGACAGCAAGAGAGAAGATGACTGCTGTTTTGCAAATTTACCACAAACTTGAAACTGTAATTCCCCTTTCCCTTGGTGATCCTCCGCCCATGAGTCTCATAAACTCTCGCTGGATCTGTGATGGCTCCTCTTAATAAGCACAGCATGGATTCCCACTGGTTTCTGTTAATCGAGTCGCCAACAAAAACCAACCTTTTCCCTCTGATCAATTCTAGCATTTTCACTGCATTGAACCTAGAATATATACAACCCAAACATCCGAAACCCAGTTCTTCAATAGTTGCTTGTTGTTGCCATATAAAGTGGAAAGAGAAAATTCCAAAAGAAACACACAAAAGGCAACTAGTTGCTACCTTGGGATGTTGCAGTCATGTGGTTGCCATCTCCACCTGATATAATCTTTGTCTGGTCTTCCATTAGCTTCACAGCTAAAGCCTTCATCTATGAAGGGACATGAACTATTTGTATACAGGGGATAACTCTCATCAAAAACCCATCTCCCCTTTGAAACATCACATTCACTAGTCTTCTTCTTTTCAATCCTCCCACCACCTGAAACTTGGATTTTCTTGGACGACTGATCATGGTTGCTGTAAGTGATACCGTCCAAAGCACCGTTTTGGGTCTCCTCGCTTTTGTTATCTCTGTCTGAAACCCCAGACTTGTTCTGTTTTATTTGAACCTTTTCAACAACTGAAACTACACTATTCCCAGAAGAAATGTCGGGTATCCTGAAATGAGTCTCTGCAGAAATTGAGAAGGCCTGGATATTTATGGGTTTAAGCCCCAAAGTTTGGGAGGATTTGTTGAAATGGAGTTGGGTTTCTTGAGGGATCAAGGGGATGCACTTGAAAACCCAGATGGAGAAGAAGAGGAGAAGGAGGGAGGATGAGAGGGTGAAGGAGAAGACCAGTAGTCTTGTGGGCTTCAAGTTGAAGGAGAAACTCCTCTGTTTCTCCATTTTCAAAAGATTTGGTACGATGAAGCTTCCATGATAGAGAGCGAAGGAGGGGATACATGTGCGTGCAGCGTGCGTAAAAAAATGAAAAACGTCAAGAATACGGACGGGAGCTGTTGCAGATAAATGTGGAGTGGGTTCGGACTTTTTGCTTCTTTACACTATTCCATCCCCAGGTGAGGGTGATTCAAGCCTTCCAGGAATACTTCAATGGGTTGTACATACCCAATTATCCTTAATCTTGTACTATGAAAATGGTAATTAAGGCTAAGTTTGCGATTGATTATTTGAAAAATAAGTATGTGTTTGATTACGTGGGTAAGCTGTTATTTTTACTTTTTCACTTTTTCACTTTTATTTATATTTTTTCACTTTAAATGTTTTATACCTTTGTTGTTTGGTTGGGTTTCACTTTAAACATTTTTTTTTTTACTTTTCACCTTAAATTAATACCCATTAAAGTGTGTGTTACATCAGCATTTGATTTCAATAATTGATAGGGCATTGGGGAAAACAAGAATTTGACTTTTTCCCAAAGGCCCCATGCATAAAAATCAAAGTGTTTCAGTTTTCTACCATCTATTTGACAAACAATTAAACCAAATATTTGTTTCATTTTGCTTTATATGCAATAAATGCCAATGCCTATGCGGCGCTATGTGATGGCAGTTTTTCAATAAATGCCCACGAAACCAAACATAGCCTAAGTAATCATTGAATGACATGGCATCATCTTGAATGTTGAATAATAAGATCAATGTTGAAAACGTTGCTATTAACACCGATACCAAATAAATCAGTGTTGTTTTCTCAAAAAACACCTATGTAGCACCACCAGTTCCAAACAAAAAATAAGCTTCACATGCCCAACACCACTTTTCTCATAAACCGGTGCAATCTTCCTACCACTGATGCCAAACACCTACTAAGTGTTTAAGAGCATTTGGTGAAAAATCACTTATTTTAAATAGGGATAGTTATCTTTTGCCAAAAAGAAAAAAGAGGGATAGTGTGGCAAGTCGAGATAGGCAAAAAAGGAAATAATCATTTATTGAATGAACACTTAAAAATAAGCCTAAAATATAGACTTCTTAAATAAGTACTTATTCTCAAAAAATAAACACTTATTTTGAGATTATTCCCCAAATGCAAATAAATATTTATTAATATGATCTCTACCTAACATAAATACTTATTTTTAAGCACTCCCAAACTTAAATGAGTGAGACAAGCTTAATTTATGATTATGATCATAAAATTAAAATGAGAATTCCACTTTTTCTAGAGGATAACGAGGGGTGATTTAGTAATTTTGAGAGAAGGTTTGGACGTCAAATCATATCACAAAAAGTCATGCCGTGGGCCAGAGCCACTAAAGAAAGATTTGGTTTGAGTCAATCTATATCCATGTGGAGTTACTGGTTTGGGCCATGCGGCAATATAGAAGATGTGTGAATAAGATATTTGTTTGGCAAAAGAAATAAAAATAAAAGTAGGTCATCAACGATTTCCTTGCCGATTTGCTTTCTTTTCTTTTCTTTTTCCACCCAAAAAAGGTAGTTTATTAGTGTGAGTGGGATGGCCTCTTGTATTTTATGACTATGTATCAATATGATCAATCAATTTTTATACCGGTCATTGGCCTCTTGTATTTTATGACAATGAGTGAGCGTAATAGCTGTGTGACATATCTCTCAATTAATATGCTTTTCATTCAAACGTTTTTGTTTTATTAGATAGAAATTATTTATTATTTTATTATTTTTATTAAAATAATTAAAAATAAAAATAATGAAAAGAAAAATGTAAATGAGTCCTAACTCCTAATTATTTTGACAAAGATAATAAAATAATGAATAATTTATGTCTAACGGAACAAAAAAGTTTGGATGAAAGGCATGGGATATGTGTCACACAACTATTACGTGTTCACTCATTGTGCTTAACTAACGTGCCTACTACATCTGGACTCCTCAAATCCACCATCAATAGGTCTTTTTTTTATTAGGGTCCGTTTGATTTACAATCAGAATTGGAATCGGAATTGGAATTAAAATCAGAATCAAAATTGTTCGTTCTCATAGTCTGTTTGGTTCAAACAGGAATGAGAATGAAAATAAGAATCAGCAAGAATGGGATTTCATTCCCAAGAGAGAGGCACGAAATGACCATTCCCTCAAATGGGGAAATGCCATTTCAGCATAAATGAAAATGAGATTCTGATTCTAACCAACCAAACAATTGGAATCGGAATAGCCCCTTTTGAACATTTATGGATGGGGACATTCCGATTCCAATTCCAATTATGGGCATGGGGAGATGGGCTACTCCATTAAGAACCAGGCCATGATCACCCCTAGGCAAATCCCTTTATGAGCCGGGAGCCCCATAAAGCTTTAAAAAATAAATAAAAAATTGATGCTGGAAATGCCCTACAGTCTATCCTATGGCTAACTTCTTGCATTGTAATGAAAAGGAACTAAATTGAATTAATCCCTTTTTACTTTAGAGTGAGTATAAATACAAATATGTAGTGTAAAACTTTATATTTTATTTACATTGTACTGTATATATGTATCTTTCTAAACTAAGGGGGTATTTAAACGAAAACTAATCCACCTTTAGAGGGATTTAGCTGGGTTGTTATTGGATTTGTGATAAGAGTGTGATTTTCTTCGTTAGTAATTATGAAGTCTCATAATGTTCTGTCCGGATTAGAGATCGGATCTGCTCCTCACATATGGCACCTCACACCAATATTACGGGCACATCTCATTGTATATTGGAAACATTTTTCGTATTTATATGCTATTATTTAAGGGAGAGATGTTCCCAATGTAAGGTGGGATGTGCCTGTGAAGCGCCTTGTGTGAGAAGCAGATCCCAATTCTCGGGATTATGGGTGAAATTGGGGTCATTCTTCAAATCAAGGAGAGGTCATTTGATTTGACTGACTTCATTGTTATTTTTGGGATCGGGGTCTAGAAATTGGGATTGTTTTGGGGAGGATGGCTGTTCAGCCCACTTCAGAATTTGTAATCCCACAATGTAAGTGGGATGAATCCTGACACTGGATTGAAGCTAAATCCACAAACAGGATGCGATGATTTATAAGAGGGGCTATTAGTAGACTACGGGGGCTGTACTATCCGTTTTTATTTTTCTTTCATTTGCAAAGGGAGAGAATAAAATTTCAGAGGGAGAAGATAATCTTATAATTTCCGATTCTGAAGAGGAACCTCACTTGCGTCATTGACGATTCTTAAGACAAGCATCTCGGGATGTAAATAAGTTCACAACTGAGGCTTTTTCCTTACTCTGGTAGCAGCTGATAGCCTTTAAGTTATGTTTGGTAAAAAATAAGAAGAACCCAAATAGGGCGTCAATAAATCAGTTTTTTGAACTCTCCACTTTAGCCTCTTAAGAAGTATATCCTGAATGTCTCAAAGCAACTAAACCAGCTTAACTGGATATTCAGGATATTCAGCAATCAGCACAGCCCTCCAAATAGGCACTCAATATATGGTTGTAAAAAATCGAGATATAGGCTTCGGATGAAATCAAATTCCATTTATAGGCCCATAGATCTATCTACCAAATAAAGCCCATAAACCACCATTCACCACACTACCTCACTGGCCCACTCAATCCACTTCTTCCATTTCAAACCATACAATGCTTCTGCTAACAACATAAAACTTAAACAGGTGAAAACACTGCCTCCACAAAGACATGCTTCTTCTTTGGAAACCCCAAGCCAACTATATGGTTCAAGTACACCCTCCCGTTCTTCACCGTGGCAGCCGAGGCCAGACGATGCATGGGCCCGGCGTACTTGCCAACGACGGCTGCCGTCTCCCACCCATCCGAACTCTCAACCAATCTTCCCGAAGGATTCCCGGCCACTACAAGCCTGGTAGGAGACAGGAGCTCAATACCATCTCCGAAGGCAAGCGACCCTTTAACTATCTTAACTAACTTAACCCCAGCATCTGCCACCCCAACCTTGAACAAAGCACCGGAGATTGTATGGATGACCAACAAATAACCGTCCGGGTGGTAGACAATGCCGTTCAGTGTAACCAAGTTCTTGTACCATTCTTTGTGAATGAAGAGTGGGCTTCTGATGGTGGACAGGAATTCTCCGTTCACACCCACCTTCCATATTTTGCTGGCTTTTGCATCCGTGATGAAAGCATTACCTTCTGCGTCCACGGCTACGTCGTCCGCTAATGATTTCTCATCATCTGCACAATAATCAAATATAAAATAGTTTTAATAAATTAAAGTAAATTCAATCAATCAATCAATCAGTCCCTCAAATAAATTATCAATCAAGGGGTGACTCAATTGTTATATTAGCTGGTTCATTATGGGAATTCAAATCTTGCCACCACCAAATTTGGAAAAGGGGCAAGTGTGGTGCTGTTGCTATTCAAAGCGGCCCCTACGGGGGTTTGGGTGTATCACCCAGGCCCCATTCATTTTTTTTTTTTTTTGCAGAGAAATAAGAAGGGAGAAGTTGGTTAATGGGAAAGTGATTCCCATTGACCAATGTTATGTTTTCGGCAAACTGTACCTATTTCCTAGGTGGGTAATTAAGTTTTACACTTAGAAGATAAGAAATTTATAAAACATAATGGGATGAATTTGTCCAATTGCCTTTAGATAAAATAGTCATTATATAATTTATTTGGGAATTAAAAGAACATGGATAAATAAATTTACCATGGCAGGTGATTTTTAGAAAAACATTTACCTGAGTTATAGTAGATGTTTGGTATCTATGTCGTTGTTTTAGAGATATTTTTTGAAAAAATGGTATTATACACAAGCCTCTATTGCACCTTTTTTCTCAAAAAACAATTCTTTTTTCTTTGTTTGGCATAGATGTTGCCACATAAATTGTTTTTTAGAAAAACAACATTGGTTTTATTTTGTACAAATACTATATAACCATTTTTCATTATTAGTCTATATTATCCAAGATGATACCACATTGATGTTACCTAGTATTGGGAGCAACTAAGCAACATGCTGTTTTCCAAGAAAAATTTGACTTCTTCATACTATATTTCTACAATTTCCAAGACATGATCTGTGTAACAATTCTTTTTTTTTTTGAAACAATGATGTCACATAAAAGGTCATTTTTTGAATCACTGCTTTTTCTGACATGGCACCGATGTGATGCATCGATGCCAAACACTGCCTTAAGTGTTTTCGGTAAATGTTTAGCTGAATAGGTGCACTTAACTGATATTCTACATTGTGTTTGGAAGCATAGGCACTTTTTGGGACTGATTTTCAAGAAAAAACGTCCATGCTTCTAAGACCCATCTTTTACAAAAAAAAATGTTTCTACCACGCAATACTATGCTATTTGGTAAGGTGATTTTCATCACCATTTTTCATGTATGTGCTGACAAATAAACACCACATAAGATACACATTAGTCAACTATTGGGGGAAACGGTTCACCGATACATGAAACGCCAAATTTTGTGTTTCATGCATTGGTGGGGTCCCGATTTTCGAGACATGCCCGATTTTTTAATAATCGGTTGAACCAAACAATAAGATACATAGACATTTGTTGAAATGCCTATGTAGATCCGATGTGACACCGTTTTTTTGAAAAATGGCCACGGTTCCAAATATCTCCTAAAACGAACAAGGCCCAAATATTAAAAAAAAGTCAAATAAATCTGAAATTCAAATTTTAAATTGAATTTCATATAATTCAGTAATAATTAAATGCAAGAAATCGTGGAAGGTTAGTGTGGTCCTTGGACCCTAGTTGTTATGTGGTCAAGTTGAGAGGCCGTGAGATTCATGTGATCACTAAAACTATGGGGCGATCATACGCTCCTGGTTATCTGGTATCACGGATTCCCAGTCTTTAACGACCCATACTTTCTAGCCACGTGGAACGAGAACCTCACGTCAACCCGAACCAAATTCCTTTTCGTACACACTTCACAGCCCGTCAAGCAAATCCCTTTGCCCAGAAGAAGACAAAATTGGACTCGTCATTCGCCATTAATTGAAATTGACCACCATTTTGGCCGGTCATCCCTAAATTAGAATTCTCCCCAAATCTCATCAAAAGACCAAAGGGAGGGGATCAAGTAGGACCCACTACGCAGAATGAAACGGATCTGTGCAGGTGCAGAGATGTACATGCACACCAAGCACAGCCATCCAATTGAAGTCAGAACTCCCATGGTTACGACTTACGAAGCATCGGATAAAAATTTTCCGGCCGGTAAATGTGAACTTTTCCGTTGTCCTGTGCCCGGTGGTAGGAACTAGCAACCAGCGTTTGAAACAAATAGGGTTCCTAATTCTCATGATTCCGTTACAACTTCCAAGGGTGAATAGACTATAGATGAGTTCATGAGAAGACGAAGAACGAATCAGAAGAACAGATTTGAAGGAGAGGAGAATGAGAATAAATAATAAAAGCTAGGAATTGGAATTTAGAACGAGATCTCTACGATCTCACACTAGAGGAAACTAAGTCAACTGACTGACCTTTGCCACTGAGCTGAGTGAGGAACAATCGGTTCCACGATGTCAAGTCGTAGGCTGCAAGAGCAGTGTATCGATTGCCAATCAAGTCACTGATCGCAACGAGGAGCCGATTTCTGGGCGGGTCCACCACAATACCAAGAGAAGCGTTCCCTGCCAGGTCGGCATCCCTGACGACGGTCTGTTCTTGCAAGACTGTCCCTGATGCGTGATCCTCCGGCACCGGAATCTGACCGATGCCGCCCTCCAGGTTGGACACGAGGAAGCGACGGTTGGCATCGTCCCACTTGCCGGACTCCCTGAGCCATCCAAGGCCGTGATACTCATAGACGTGAGTTGAGGACTTGCTCCGTTCCAGGGATATGATGAACGCTACGGGGACGGCCGAAACCACCAAGGCGAGAAGGAGAAATTTGGTGGAGCAGACGAAAGACGCCGTCCCCATTGTTTGGTTCTCTGCACTCTACAAGGTTTCAGAGCTCAGACAGAGAATGGTCCAGCTGGTTTTTATAGGTGAAGACAAAATAGATTATGGTAGCCTCCTGGTAGGTAAGACTTAAAGAGGAGGAAAATAGAACAAAGAAAAAAAAAAGATTCAAAGAAGATGGGCTCATGGGCCTTTGTTTTTTTTACTTTTTTATGTTTTCTAATAGACGGAATCTATAGACTGCAGTCGGATATATGTGAATGATGGTGTGATAGAATCCATCGAGTGAAATCTTTGACCCTCGACCTCGAGATTCTCATTTCTGACGTAAAATTGCTGAAACCTTTCAGTACTTTCTGACAATTCCGTCTCAGTATTCAGTTTTATGGTAATATCACAGTCATCTCTAAACTTTCCAACATTATTGCATTACGCCCCTCTTGAGCGGGAAGTGACAAAATTACTAAAATACCCAACTTTTATCATTTGAATGGTAAGTTACTTCTAGCCAAGGATTATTAATAATTTATAAAAATAAATAACCTTAACTTAAAATATATCAAATATACTAAAATTTCTATAATACATATCATATGCAAATTTATAATTTATAATTACTAAAATTATTATTTTATTTATTTTTATAGTTTTATGAAATAAAAAATCATTTTTCATATAAAAGTAGATTAGTGGATTTGACAAATTCAATTTACATTATATTCTCAAGTATTTTGTAAACAATAATTTTATTTTGGTAAATAATAAATATTTTTTATTTAATGCAAATTAAAATATTAATTATTAATTTATAAACATTTTAAGATACATATCACGTCTAAATTTATAAATTTTAAGTACTAAAATAATTATTCTGTTATTAATATTTTTATTTGTATATTTTTTTTTGAGATTAAAAACCACTTTTTGATATAAATGTGAATTTGAGAAATTATTTATTCCATTAGTTTAAAAAATATTAATTTTAAATAATATTTTTTTAATCTTTACTTGGAATTTTTAAACATAAATATATGCTATTTGTTAAGAACTTAAGATTACATGTGGGCATTAAAATAGATAAAACTTTATTTTATTTATAATAAGTTAACTTTTGTCTCAGTGGCTTATTGATGCGTATAAATCTAATGTGCCGGCTGTAACTTTTTAAATTAGACGTGCCAAAGTGTGAAGCACTAATCATTATTGGATGAATCACACATGTGTCACTCCGTATACCATACGGATACGATACGCCCATTTAAATCCTTGCCTAGCTTTGCTATTCCCTATTACGCTGACCATAAAATTCGTAAGATTTGTGTTTTTTCTACACTTTCTATATATTTTGTTTAAATTTATATAATTTTTTATGAATTTTATGTATTTTCTACATTTTTTATTTTTAATGAAATATATTTTTATTATTTTATTTATTTTCTGAAATTTTTGTCTTTTTCTTTATATAAGTATATATGGATAACTCTATGGGTTGGTATGATAATATTAACACTTTTGGTTAATATTCTGACGTGGAAACAATGGAGGGGGTATAGTATAGATGCAATCACGTGATAGTGTTAAGACAGTGCTATTAACATAAAATAGGTAGTGAACCGTAACTGTCAGAAATTACAGGAAGGTTCAAATCCAACGGTTATAACCTGAGGAACACAACTCTCTGATTCTCTCTGTTACTAGCAAAGTAGCAAATATGACGGAGACTCATATGACGAAAAAATAAAAATCGTGGTCCAGTGTCCAGTCTCTAGGACTAGCATCGAGCGGCATGGGCTGATGGGCTCATAAATGGCTGTGGGCCATAATTCCTTTTTATTTGATACACCTACCTCAACAAACGATAGGAATAACTGCCCAACTTCTTTCTCGGAGTTCACATCTATTACGACCACGGGCGCAAACACTTTCTGTCTTTCTCGCCACCGCCCAATAACACATAGACACGTCAACACTCATTATTTTATTTATTTATGGGTGGTCACAAGAAAGTAATGCAGTCATGGTTGCAGCAGATGAATTCCGTTGTCGCACACTATCAAACAGTTGGATGGTTGTTGGGCCTTCTGAAGTGGAGCTTTAGGCCCAACGTACGATATGCCCATCAACTGCGCAACTATGCCTTGGGTTTTGCGGTGGGATGGAAAGCACAAAGGAGATTAATTGCATGAAATTGTCCAGCAGTTAAATGGGCCATGATGCAGGCCCATGAATGGCCAGACAGGACACTGGGTTGCTCATCGGACAGGGTGGTAAAAGATCAAGACTGATGCTGCACAATGGGTGTCAATGGACCGGTTTTGGATTGGACTCCATCCAGTCAAAAATCAATCTGGACGGATTGGACGGACCAACAAAAATATTGGATTGGATGTGGTCCGTCAGTAATAAATTTATATTAGATTGGGTTGGATTAAGTCAATATCTGGTTCATTGATATAAGATAAGAATATAGGTGTCAATGCATCAGGTTTGGGTTAAAACCAATCTAAATTAAAACAATTTTGAACCAGATTAAACGGTTCAGACATTGAATTGGATTGGTCCAAAATGATCTAAAATATTCATTGGATTGGACCTGATCCATTTGTAATGGACTCACAATGGACTGGATCGGATTAGACCGAATCCAGTCCAATTGACACCCTTAATTGCTGCATCTCAAAACGAGGGCCCATTGGCAAGAGTTGGTAGGGACCATGATAGAAGAAAATGTGGAGTAAATATCGGTAAAAACTGCTCGGGCGCAGGCCAATAAAACATTGCATGGAGACAGGTACACACATTGAACCAAGTTGCTGTGGATTCAGGGGCTGTTTGACAAGTCTTTTTAGGTAGACCTTTCAACAGCCCAGTAGACAAGAAGACCCACTGAGCTTTTGGGGTCTTGCCCTTAAGATCAAGACTGTTTGCTTTGCATCATGGTTTACTAGCCGTTAAAAATATTTGAAAAAGCTATTTTCAATGTGAAAAGATCAAAAGGTTCATTTGAAGTTTCTTGATTTTTGGTTTTTTCAGTCTTCTCATGCATTTGTGTTGGAGTCTTTTTGGTATACACGATACCAAACGGAAAAATGACCATTTTTTGGTCTTTTAAGCTGCCTACAAACTGAAAGACATACTGAAAAGACGTGCCAAACACCACCCTAATGAAGTGACCATGGACCCTAGGGTTGAGCATATTCGGTTGAAACCGAATGACCAAACCAAAATTTCAGTTTTGGTGTGTTTAGTTTGGTTGTTTTGGGGAACTGGTTTGGTTTCGGTTTTAAATATCAGTTAGTTAAACTTTGGGTTTCGGTTTTGATTGTGGCATTTAACGGTTCAGTTAACCAAAAAAACCGGAACATATAGGGGTAAATGGGTGAATATACAAATAATGAGAACTGAGAATCCCATAGGTTTCGACCTTAGGCCAAAACCCAAAGTGGGCCAGTCGGTGGCTCACCAAATTAACAAAACAGTGGCCCACCGACTGAGCCCACCAAATTAGAATCGGTGACCCACCGGTATGAGTCCACCTTTTGTTATTACTTAGCGGTGAAGACTATTTTACCTCTTAAGTATATGGTTGTATTTTGATTTACAAATGTTCCTTTTATACCCCTTTCTACAAGTATAAATAGGGGTCCCCTCCTCTGTTCTTTTCATTTCATTGTATACGGTGTGTTGAGAGGTAGGGGTGAGCAAAAAAAAACCAAAAAACTGATCAAAACCAAACTGGAAAATCGGTTAACCAAATTAGTCGGTTCAGTTTCGGTTCAATATTTTAGAAAACTGATAGTTCCAGTTCGCTTTCGGTTAACCTTTTAAAAAGCCGACAATTAACTTAATCGATCGGTATATATACACTAATAATATTATATTATATATTATACTTTTATTTTTATACTTTTTAAAATCGAATACCCCTTTTCTTTGTCTCTTCAAATTAACCTAAACGGCTAAACCTAATACCCTTTTCCCTTCATCTTTTCCCAAAAATTGTTACTTTACAAAAGCCTCCCACTTCCCCTTTCGAAAAAACAATAGAAAAAAAAACCCTAAAAAATATGCATCTATGAGGTTATTTCTGTCCTTCTCAGCTCCCGAAGAAAATTCCGAGCAGTACGTTGCCCTTTCTCCTTCCACTCCATTTCTCAAAGCCAGAAAACCTCTGAATCGGAACCCTACCACTAGATTCACTCCTCTTGTGCTCTCTTCTTCTTCTTCTCCAATATCACTCGATCTCACCTCTGGCCATGGAGCTTCTTCTTGTTCTAGATCTTCGCAGCTTTGTTCTTTGTTGTGTTTCAGTAGCTGGATTTCTACTCCATCTCTCATTTCCGATTGAGCTACCAAGGAGACTATCAGTTCTCACACCTCTCTTAGTCTCTCTAATCTCTCATGTCTGTGCCTTCGCAACTCCGCTAGGATCTGACAATTCTTACAAAGGTATGTTCTTTCTTCAAAGTTCAAACAATGCTTTTAGAATAATATTGGTTTAATAGAACAAGAATGTTCTTAAGTTCTTATTCGAGTCTAGCTCGACCAAACCCTAGAACAAGAAGGTTTCTTCATTTTTTTTTATTATGAGTGCATAAAAAACCAAAAAACCAAACCGCGGTTAACCGGTCGACCAATTGCATCGGTTTGGATATTTAAAAAAATGATCAAAACCCCACGATTCGATTAACCGAACCATGAACACCCCTATTGAGAGGAATGTGGTGTTGGGTATGGGTGAGGTTCTAGTGAGGTCATTTTGGTATTGTATTTTTTCTCGTGAAGAAGTAAAACTCCAAGTTGCTGCCCGTGGACATAGGTAATTTGACCAAACCACGTTAAATATAGTGTTCTCTCTCTCTTCTTTATTTCTTTTGCTTTCTTGCTATCTGCATTCACTTCTTTCTGTGCACATACAAATTATCCATTGTGCCATTCCAACATCCAGAGTTTAGTAAAAAACCCTAGCATCGATGACCTTAGTTTTCGGCTTAGTTTCATTAGTATGGCAATATCTACAGTTGGAAACCTTAGTTGCAGGCTTGTAGCGGTGCATATATAAGTTGATAGATAGTCTAGCGAGTTTTAG